AACTACTGTCAGGTGAGTGATAAACTGAAGGAGAATGACAGGCAGTGGTGGGCACCAGCCTGTTAAAGCGCAAATCTGCTAATTACGGACCTAAATATTTTGTTTGCGCTATAGCAGTCTTACATTTTATAATTCAAAAGCAGATTTATTCACGCTTTCTAAAATTAAAATGCAGTACCGCTAATATCTAATTATCTACCAGTCATCGTTATCTTGAACATAGGGTATGGCCGTCAATGAATCACAGCACACGTGATCTGTCCAACAGCACCCCTCCCAGATAAACACACTAATTGGAAAGGTATCCATCCTTGTTGACTTTTGCTCTCAGCCACGGCTGTTATTTCCCACAAAACTTTGTGTCTGCTTACATAGCAGGAAGGCAATGTTTAGAACTCCCTGTCCCAGCTAAAACAGTTAACGTTTGTAATCCATACTAAAATTTTGTATGTATTGATTTATTTTACTTTACAATCTGAGCTCCTTTTTAAAAAAAAGTTTAAACACTGGAGCTCAATACTTGACGTAATTGGTTGAAGCAATCGGCCAATGGGTTTAGAGATGCAGAAATGATTTAAAGCTGTTATGCTGATGAAGACAGACATCTCGTGGTCAACTGGAGCAACTACATGGAAAACTTTTAAATCCAAGCACTTATTTTGGAATGAAGATATTTTCCTGTACTCCGTGCTTTCGTTTCCCATCACAAATCAAATCCATCATGTACCCAAAATGCATCGCTTCAGTTTTACAATAAACAGTTTTAAAATTACTTTATTGATGCTTCTTTAATGAAAATTTTACAACAAACAAAAGAAAAAGACAAAAAAGCAGCTGAACTAGCAATCCTCAACAACGTTTTAATTTTTACACCAGGAGCCAAATGTTTGTCTCAGGAAATCACATCCCCAGCAATTGGCAGTTATATGATTAAGCTGTAAAAGGGTTCGTATACCACTAGTTGGCAGTGTTGTGCATATATTTTACATGAATTATTGCCAGCTACTAAGTGTCAAATTGAACTTACACTTTAAAATTAGCTTCCACTAATTTTTCTATGGCATAAGCGCTTTTGAAGTTGCGGACCTAAATATTTTCATGAGCGCTTTAGAAATTGCGGAGCTAATTTTTTGATTAGCGTTGCCCACCACTAATGACAGGAAAACAGACTAAGGAGAGATGAGAAGTAATGACACAGAGAGAACATACAAGGGAGGTGTGGGGAGAACACAAGACAACAGACAACACATCCTCACATTTACAAGCACGTGAAACAACATGACGTGGGTTTTCACCTCACAATTCAAATCAACAAATAGTTTTTCAGACTGTCGTCAAATAAACGACACATGGTTTCTCAACCAGCATCAAACAATAGAATCTATTATTTCACTCTCTGTACCCCAGCGGATACTCTCAGTGAAAACACAAAACCTCCATAACTTGAATCATTTTAAAAACAACACAGGTGTAATGGTGCGTTCACACCGAACGCGATTTCAGCATCAGGAGCAGCAGGTTTACATACAAAGTCTATGGTGGACGCGCTTCAAGCAACGTCGGGAAGTGCTGCGGCGCCTCAAGCACGATTAGAGCAGCGCTATTTGAACGATTTGAACGATCTGAGCGTTTGACGCGCTGAGGCGCAAATCGCTGAAGTTAGAAAATCTGAACTTCTG